GAGATCACTCATATGTGGAATACTAAAAGCAAGGTAAAAGTGGACACTAATGAACTCATCTAACAAAACAAGAAACAGTACTTGCAGACATAAGTAAACTAATTTTATGGTTACCAGGGAAAGGGGGAAGGAAGGGATAAATTTGGGAATTTGAGATTTGCAAATGTTATCCACTCTATATAACAATAGGTAACTGTCCCCCAAGTTTCTTCTGTACAGCACAGGGAACTATATTCAATATCTTGTAATAACTGTTAAGGAAAAAAATATGAAAATGAATAAATGTATGTGTATGCACGACTGGGACACCAGAAACTGATGCATTGTAACTGATTACATGTCAATTTAAAAAAAATTTAAAAAATAAAGGAAGATCTGAATTTGAATTTCCTAATGACTAAGGCATTTGGGTACCTGTGAGTCAATTTATTTTTGATCCGAATATCTTCTTCATTTGACACGTTGCTTCAAGCCTCTCATCCACTTTTCTTTTACGCGCTTTTCTTACTGATTCGTAAGGGTTTGTTTCACATTTTAGACACTGTGATCTTGGTTAGTCATATGCTTTACTGAGCCATTCCCCCACTCTGTGACTTGATTTTTATTTTATTTTTATTTTTTTTGGTGTCTTTGATGAACAGAAGTTCTTAATTTAATGTGGTCAAATTTATTGCTCTCTTCCTATTATTGCTGTATGTGCCTTGCTTAAATTTTTTTTTCACTCCACCAGGCTTATGAAGACGGTCTTCACCGGTTTTATCCTCAACTTTTATTGTTCTGCCTCTTGTATTTACATCTACAATCCTGGAATTTCTTTTTTACGGCTACCATAAGTTAGAAATATATGTATATGCCTTCCTTATAGATATTCATTTGACCAACCAACATATCCCATATTGTTCTTGGATCTTTGCACCAAAACCACAAGCAATAAAAGCAAAGTTCAACAAGAGGGATTACATCAAACTTAAAGCTTCTGCACATCCAATAAACCGGCAACAAGGTGACAAGGCAAGCTTGTGGAATGAGAGACAATATTTGCAAACCTTCTATCTAGTAAGAGGTTAATATCCAAACTATTTAAGAAACTCAATTCAATGGCAAAAAAAAATCTGATTAACAAATGGGCAGAGGAGTTGAACAGACATTTCTCCAGAGAAGACGTACAAATGGCCAGCTGGGACATGAGAAGTGCTCACTGTCATCAAAGACCGAAACAGATATCACCTTACACCTCTTAGAACCGCTGTCCTCAACCAGGCAGGAGACAGAAGTACCGTGGAGGCTGTGGAGAAAAGGGAGCCCTGTGCACTGTTGGTGGGAAAGCAAGTTAGTGCAGCCACTGTGGAAACCAGTACGGAGATTCCTCAAAAAATTAAAAATGGAGCTACCATAGGACCCAGCAATCCCACTTCTGGGTATTTATCCAGAGGAAATGAAACAGCCATCTTGTAGACATGTCTGCACCCCCATTTTCGTTACGGTATTGCTTAAAATAAACGAGACATGGAAGCAACCTAAATGCTCCTGGATGGAGGAATGGATGCACACGTCGAGCCATCCTTGCATGACAGCTGCAGATCTCCCCGGTCACGGTGCATGGTTCCCTGCACACACTGCTGGGTTCAGTTTGCTAATATTTCGTGGAGCCACCTTTGTGCCAGCGCCCACAAGAAACACCGGTCTACAGCTTTCTTATTTTGCGTTATCTTTGTATTATGTGTTGACATAATGAAAGGGTACCGTTGGGCTTGTAAAATGAGTTGGCAGCTGTCCCTTCTGGTTTCTGGAAGAGATTGTGTAAATTGCAGTTTATTTTTTGAAATGTTCTGAAGAGTTCCCCAGTGACCTCTGCGCCTGAAACTTCCTTGTGGAGAGGTTTTTGATCATCAGCTTAACTTCTTTTTTTTTTTAATATTTTTTATTGATTTATAATCATTTTGCAATGTTGTGTCAAATTCCAGTGTAGAGCACAATTTTTCAGTTATACATGACCATATATATATTCATTGTCACATTTTTTCTCTGTGAGCTGCCACAAGATCTTGTATATATTTCCCTGTGCTGCACAGTGTAATCTTGTTTATCTGTTCTACAATTTTGAAATCCCAGTGTACCTCTTCCCACCCCCCACCCCCCAGCTTAACTTCTATGATGGTTAGAAGCCTCTTCAGCTTTTCACGTCATCTTGGGTGAGTGTGGGCAGTTCATGACTTTGAGCAGTTGGTCCTTATTTTCCGAGTTACAGAACGTATGTGTTTAGAGTTGTCCATGGCGCTCCTCGTTGTCTTTTTAGTGGCTGTGGGCTCTGAAGTGAGATCCTCTGTCTCGGTGATGTTTCTTATTTGGGGTTTTCCTCTGTTAGCTCCTTTTATTCCCTTTCATGGATCTCGGCCCTTGTATTTATTATTTATCTCCCTCTGCTTGCTCCGGGTTCACTTTGCTCCTTGACGAGTTTCCAGAGGTAGCCAACCAGTGTGCCTTCTTCTCGGCACCTCTCAGGGTTCTGTTTTGGTTGCCTGTTGTGTCATTTCCAGGCTCTACAGTTCTGCTTGCTCTGGGGGGAGCAGGTAATAACTGATCAGTGCGATCTCGTCCTGAGGAGAAGTTCCAGACTCTTTCACAACTTTAATAATACAGAATAGTTGCAATGCTCTTCCATACAAAGTGCTCTTTATTTCTCAATCAACTCACCAGCATTGTAGTCTAGAGAAGGGTTTTTTATTCTCTGATATATTTATTGATTTCTATTAAAAATTACAAAATGTATTCTTACACATTCAATGCATTGCATTTATCTTAAAGGATACAATTACATAAAATTAAAAATACATAAAGTTAAAATTAAAAAATGCATGCATAAAATTAAAAAGGCTGTTGCAATTTTGGTCACAAACCTGTATTTCATACAGATGAAATGCCTCATGAAAAAAATTGGAAAACTTCTTTCAGAAGTGTAACTTGTATTAGCCCCATAGCAATACTGAAGTTAGAAGAACTCAACTTGGCGGGAGATGATACACGTGCTGAATGCCAGATGGTGGTTGCTCCTTTAAATGCACAGATTTTCCATAGTTTGGGCACAGAATTTTCCCTTCGCATGTCATGCAATTGTGTATAATAGCACGGTGAAGTGAAAATTCTGTAAGAAATCTATAAGGTTTTAGTATTTTTAGAGAAAGGGCATTTCTTTCCTTTATGTCAGTCCTCATGATTTAGCCCTGGATTTTGCCAAGAAAAATTGAGCATTATAACAGGTGCTCAGAAATTGGCTAGAAAGGCACTTTTTCATTACTCTGTTCTCTTTGGGCTCTTGGTTTGTCTAATGCAGTAATTGGCTCCAATAGAACAGTGTGTGTTTGAAGTTCATGGCCATTCACCTCAGTGAGCCTCAGAACCATTTGGACGGCAGGGAACCTTTTGGAAAATGTGCTCTGAAGCATAATTGCACTTTCCCAAAACATAGCAACATTTAAAAAGCATTGGCTTACAACTAGTTAGATGCGAACCTGATTCTGAATTTCATAATCTTGAGAATGTGTCTCTACTTTTCCAATATCTTTCTGTTGCTCTTAGTACTTACATTCAACTCATATAGGAAGTCCATTTTATGGGAGCCAGTCTAGTTAGGCAAGAGCAAGAAATAAAAGTTAAAAAGATTGAAAGAGAAAAATTAAAAGTGTAATTATTCCAGCCAACATAAATATAACCAGAGAAAATCTCTCCCAAATTATTAGCAAATGGAAATTCAAAAAATAACCTATTCGGTTGGTGAATTCAGCAAGTTCGCTGAACTGCAACACAGTTATCACAACACAACCACATAAAAATCAACTGTATTGGACAAATTGGCAACAAAAGGAAAATTACATTGAAAAATATTTAATTTAGCATCAAAATATCAAGCAGTTCAGTAAATCTATCAAAAAGGTGTCAAATGTTTACACTAAAAAGTATCCTAGACTCCTGAGAAAAATATTTTTAAAAGATCAAAGTAAATGAAGGATGTACTTTGTGTCTGGAAGGGAAGATGTGGCATCATAAAAAGTCACCTTTCTGATGGTTGCCACAGACTCAGGGTGATAATCAAGCTGTAGGCGCCTTTACTGTTATGGGCACGCGTATGTGGAGCTGGCATGCTAATGTAAAATCATTTGTGTGGAGTGCAAAGCGGCAATGCCCCATTTCAATGTGCAGTAGGCAACAGATTCGCTATATGTTTCACGGCTTCATCGCACCGTGTTCCCAGCCCCTGACAACAGCTTCCTCGCTACCCGTTTTCCGGTTCCTCCAGACTGCGGTGTAGCAGCTTGCCCTGAGAGCGTATGTGTCTGGTGGCTCAGAGTAAGTGGCTGCTGTTTAATTTGCTCAGCTGTTTCTTACTGTAAGGATGAGGGTGATTACATTCCAGCTCTTCATATACAGAAACTGAAAACTGGAAGTTTCATCAAAAAGTGTTCATGCCAAGGAGCGGATCATATGGTAAGTCTGTTTTTAGTTTTTTGAGGAATCTCCACACTGTTTTTGATCCAGCAACCCCACTCTTGGGCATACATCCAGAGGGAACTTTAATTTGGAAAGATACATGGACCCCAATGTTCACAGCAGCACTATTTACAGTAGCCAAGACATGGAAACAACCTACATGTCCATCAAAAGATGACTGGATAAAAATGTTGTGGTATATTTATACAGTGGAATACTACTCAGCCATAAAAAAGAGTGAAAATTGCCATTTGCAGCAACATGGATGGACCTGGAGATGGTCATACTAAGTAAAGTCAACCAGACAGAGAAAGACAAATACAATATGGTATCATTCATATGTGGAATCTAAAAAAA